CTCTCCGTGAATAAATGTGTGGTATTTGTAATTAAAATTGCTTATTTGCAAGTTTCTTCTTGCAATCTTCTATTCCCTTGCATCATCACTGCTCCCCGCCCCCAACAACACCCACCACAATCCCTCAAAGATGCAGATTTATGATGGAGTATTGTCATCCTTCTGGTTAGGCGGTGATTCATTGTATTTCAGGTGCTACAATTAGCAGGTTATTTGACTGCTACGGCATCACAGTTGCCACAATCCAACTTCATTGTAAATACAGTACTTACACAGGTCCACCAGAAATTACAGGAGTAAGAGCTGTATCGAAATGTCGCATCTTATATTGAGGTCAATTACTGTATCTTTCTTGTCACCAGGTGAAGGAATACAAATTGGGCATTGACCCCACAAAATTTTCATCTGTATCAGTTACCTTATACACTACTTTTACCAACTGAGCCATCAGTACTTCGTTGCATACTGTATGTAGTCAGTATGGACACACAATGGACAAATGGCCTCTTTCCGTACGTCAACAACTTTGTGATTCTATAACTCTGAATTTCAGATGTTTCTTTAAGAATAAAAGTACAGAAAATAACAAGGCTGCAAATTCATGGAACTACACCATAGTGTATAATGCGGCTGAGATACTTCCATTGCTATTGTTTGGAAAGATCATAAATATTAAGGTTTTAAGATTATGAAAACGCTTACTAAGGTAGACAGAGTGAAGATGATTTCGGAGGGAGAAAACAACTAGGGTACATAAATAGAATGTACTCACTAATAAATCCAGTAGAGAATTCCAGAGAGATTTCTTTACCCAGAGAGTGACTCAAATGTGGACCCACGAGGCATCATTGAGGCAAACAGCGCACGTTAATTGAAAGGGAAGTTGGATAAGCTCGAAGGAGGGAGATATGGAAGGTTGTGCTGGAGGGATTACATTATGAAAGGAGTGGAGTCTTGTGCGGGTCATTGCTACCAGTATGGACCTGTTAGGCTGAATGGCCTGTTTCTCTGCCACAATCACCACACAAAGCTAACAAATATCAAAGCTGGAAAACCTGCCGAAACCTTCTCATTTGATCTCTCCTCACCCCCTTTCCCAGTTTCTGTTCCTGAATATTATATTCTCACTTAGTATCGCCGAGTTATTTATGGCTCAGTAGGAGGCCATTTTGCCCAGAAAGTGGATGCTGGCTCTCTGTAGAGTATTCCAGTTGCATCTCTAACTACTTCTTGTTCTGACCAAAGGTAATCAACCTGAAATGTTAGGTGTCTTTCTCTCTCCATAGAAGCTGCCTGACCTGTTCAATATTCCCAGCATTGTTTTTCATTATTTATGTAGTCAATGCATTATATTTATAAGGTATTCCAAATTCAATTTCTTGAACATTAAGTATATTGTATGCTATTTTAATAAAAAAAAGTTAATACAGTGGGTGTGTTCCATTCAACTTAATTGAACTGTTAAAAGAAAATAAAAACTGGGAGTAGGTGTGGGACATATGGCCCCTTGAGCCTTAATTCAATAGGTCATGGCTGATCAGCTATATTTTCCAGCAATATATCAACATCTCTTGATTCCCTTAAGTGCCCCAAAACCTTTACAAATCAATCTAGATCCACCCCCTCCAAGGCAAGTATACCCTTCAAATACCCAGCATTATAGAATTTGATATTTTAAACATTTGAAAATCTGAGTTGAAGGACCATACTTCCAGACATTGCTGTGGAGAAAAGGTTAAGAGACAACATGTATTAATTCAAGTATTAGATGACAG